TAGGTTTTACATATTAGTAGGTATACTCTTACATTACAGTTTTTGTATTTTTTCTCAAAAATGAAATATTTTCCAGCGGTAAAAAGTATCCTATATGTTGACCCGGATAACCAGCTATCACCATACCAAATTTCATTAAAATCCCTCCAGTGGTATTTCCGTGATGCGGTAACAGACAGACAGACAGACAGACAGACATACAGACAGACAGACACACTGACAAAAATTCTATAAACTATAGATTCGGACTATGTATCGATAATAATGGCTATTTCAATAAGATGTACCAAAAAATATTCAATTACAGATTCGACTCAGTTAGAATTTCATTATATGTATAGATATGTATAGATTGCTTATATATAAATTGAATTTGATCGATAGGAATAGTGAAGAGCTGTAATATATTCTACATATAATGCAATATATTGTATAGGTGTAGGTGTAGGTATAGTTAACTTTGCCATGAAAGTTTATTCTACTTTATTGTTCATATTTGGCCAAATGAGACCAATATGTTGTTTATCCTACAAATAACTTGGCTTAATAGGCGTAAAGTTGGTGGAAAGTTAACCGCTGCAAAGTTATACTCAAATGACCTAAATAGGCGGCGTTTAGGAAGGGACACAAATTAATTGAACATCGACGGATCTCGCCCCGTCCGCATACAAACAGCGCTACTTGCAAATCCAACGGACAACTCATCGACGTAATAGAAATATTAGAATAAATGGTCATAAGCTCGTTGAACTGAAAAAGCTTAACTTTTATATTAAAAAATAATCTTTCGTTTTTGAGAGATACACAAATATGAGATTCTAGAGAACTTTCTTTCTGTTGTCTTGACCGATTGAAATTTAATTTAATATTTTTTATATTTTATAGCAGCAAATAAATGAATGTAAATTGTTATTGCAGAGACTAGCGACTCACACATATATATAATTTTTTTGAGCGGAACCCTAATCCTTTTACTGGTTTGGTGTTACTTCTTATAACATCAACCTGAAAGTCCCGTCAAAATCGGCCTAGCCGTTTCGCAGATTGGCCGGAACAAACAGATCGACAGACAGACAAAAATGTTAAAAATCGTGTTTTTCTTATACATTCCTACCGTGTATAATTCCATATGCATTTAGTAAAAAACTGTTATTTTGACATTACAAACAGTCTTCCCGCTCACACGTGAGGGGGAGAGAGCCTTTAAGTTTGTTTTGGTTTATATTAATTATAATAATTTGCTCGACAAGGATGTTATACACGTATGTATATATTTAGAAAATACAAACAGAACGTTGAAATCCAAAGTTTATTCATAAAACATGACACAACTCTGGATACATTACCGTGAAGCATGATGTTATTTATATGTAAGGATAACATTAAATATGGACATAAAGGAAAAGCAGTAAAACATATGGCTTCTAAGTTTTAAATACGAATGTTACAAAACATATTTGTCAATTTACATAAAGTTTAAGTTGCTTTTGAGACTAAGCTTAATTCTGCTTAAAAAAGTGTTTTCTTATATTTTTATTAAATACTAGCAACTCACACTCGCTTCGCGCGGGTTCTCCTCTAGGTATGTTTTAACGGTTAGTATGGAATGGATGGACTATATATTATATAATATATAGCCTATGGCCTTCCTCAATAAACGTGCTTTCTAATGCAAAAATAATTTTTCAATTCGGATTAGAAGTTCGTGAGATTAACGCCTTCAAACAAACAAACTCTGCCTCTTTATAATATTAATATAGATATAATTACTACTGCCCCTAAATAAATACTACCACTATTAAAAGAATAAATAAATCTTATTTATAAATTGGTTCATTCATTCATATAAACTCGACGGCTTTTCCGGATTAGAGATAAAAGTTTTAACGGAACTTCATCATTACGAATGGTGTAAGAATTACGAACGAATGAAGTAAATGTTAAGCAAATTGTTGTTTTAACATTCAGCAATCATAATATATATAGACCCGGTAATTTCTTGCAAGATAGAGAACAAAAATTTTAACTAAATTCTATTATTCTGTAAAACTATAATGCACTAAAATCATCTTAAATTTTACTCTGTGTTCGTCAGTAGTAGTATAAAGTAACTTCATCCTACGGACCTACACTCATCAACATATTGATTGAAACCAATATTTTGTACTACTAGTGGCTCACTCTCGCTTCGCTCGGGTTTGCCTCTAGAAAATCAAAAACAAATCTATCCCTCGGGAACCGTATATTTTTCCGGGATTAAAAGTGCTTTTGTGTTGTTCCAGAATATAATCTATCTCTGTGCCAAATTTCATCCAGATCTGTTCAGGCCTGTTGTCGTGAAACAGAAACAAACATCCATACATCCATACTCACAAACTTTCACATCCCGGAAATCATCCCATTAGGTGAAAATGGGTATGAAAGTTTGTATGGGGAATCAAGCTAAGGACGAACCCGAGCAAAGCAAGGGTGAGTCGCTAGTATAGAATATATATGTATGGATAATAAAACTATTATAATTATCACCTAATGCGGTGAAGGAAAATATCACGAGAAAACTTGCGTGAGACAATTTAACAAGATTTCGAAGTACTTGTGAAGTGCGTCAACCTGTAGATATTTGGCCAGCGGATATAACAACAGAATCACGGACACATACGAGTACGTATGTTTAACATAATGCTGGACTTTAAACATTTTTAATTTCAATAATAAAATAGTGTTGGTATGCTAGCAGTAGCAAATTGGCATTTTTAGTTAATCCGCTAAATAGGAACAGTCTTTGTAAGGCTTATATCCAGTAGTTAGGCTGAAAACTTTGACTGCGATTGATTTCCGATGCTAGTTGGAAGTAATTATTCACGAGTTCGTTCCAGTTTACAGATCATATTTTCGCTATGGCTAGCATCGTTAATGAATTCTCAGCCTCGTACCATTCATTAATAATATTACTCTAGAATTATCTATCTATTGTTGGATATTTAGGAATAAGTAAAAGAATCGTAATAATTTTATTAATACGTCTGTTAAGTCTACGTAAGCTCACTCGTACCAATTTCTTACAAGGTAGATATTTCCTGAATGATTCTAAAAATAAAAAACGTTCTGCTATGAGCGAAAAAAAATGTTATGTATAAAACACCCGTATGTCCATATGTATTAATTTACAACGCAATAGCGCTGTGCCTATTATATCGTTTAAATCGATGCTACAGTTCATCCCCTAGGATTTATGCGCAATGAATTTTAATTTAATTGACGTTCAGTACTTAGTTACGGCAAAAATAGAAACAGGTATTAATATTATTTATTATATTACTTAATAATGGTTGAAGAGATAATAAAAAAATATATAATCAGACTATTGAAGAAATAAATAAATATACAGAACTAGAACAGATTATGATGAAAAAAAACTTTCTGTTATGAATAATAACATATTACTCAAATAATATTTTGAGTAAAATATTATGTATCGTGATTTTATTTAGTACCTTTCATTTGTTCTGCACGCGAGCTGTCGGTGTTTATATTTAGTAGGAATATACTTATTGTTCACCTGTTCATTAGCGACCTGTTTCTCTTATACGTTATCTCGGTACGATAGTAACCGATCGGGCAGTAGCAATGTGTATGAAGTTATTTAAGGTAGTTTTTTATAAAGCGATAATTATACATTTTAATTAGTTATTAAAATCCTAAAATAACTTCAGTATGTATCTATATAAAACAATATTTTGCCTAATTAGATGCGTGTCTTATAAATCGATTGAAGCGGCTTTTAGTTTTGGACGACCTTGCTAGTTCGGCATAGCTTTCATGTTATCTGCTTGAGCGGGATGTCGCGCTGGCACGCACGCTGAATATCTATATTAGGCACTGAAACTGTCTCGCAAAAAATATTCCTTATATTTTGTGTACCTTGAAATATTCAATATCCTAAATTTTACCCTTACGTATGATGTGGAAAATTGATGAGTTACGAGTACATTGAGTAATAAAAAGAAAATTTTGCATTTGTCAGCTATTTACAATTTATATTTATTAAATTATAGTAATAATATCATATTATAAAATAAAAAAACACACTAATGTATCCATGAAAACAAATCTATCCCTTGGGAACCGCACATTTCTCCGGGATAAAAAGTAACCTATGTGATATTCCAGACTATAATCTATCTCTGTGCCTTTCATCCAGATCCGTTCATCCGTTCTGACGTGATTGAGTAACAAACATCCATCCAAACTTTCGCATTTATAATATTTATGGGATTAGTATGGATTAGTAACAATCATTTAGATTATTTAGTTCAGATTCTAAATTAAAGCATGAGCTCTCTTTAAGTTATACGAGTACTACCTACGTGTAAGAATTTTACTCTCATACGTCGCAGTTTAAATATACTTATATACTCGTATTAACAATAGGCAAGTTTTTTTTATTAAGTGGGGCTGTACGTTTAAAACACTTTGTGGCAGGCAGTTACCATTATATATTTATTATTTGCATATAGATGTCTAACTCATATTTATTCATGTGTTTTTCTATATTTTTTTCATAATTCCGGATTTATTTAAGAACGGCCAGACAAAGCTACAGGTAAATGCTAGCCAAATATAAATTAGTTAATCATAAAATATCACAAAATTTACGTTTCTATGGATGTTTGTCGCTAAATACGTCGTGTTTGCTTTGTTAAAAGCGAACCGACATGACAGTGCAAACAACACGTGTTAGCCGATTAATTTTAATCATATTATCTATTGTCAAATTAAAGGTCTACGAGTATAGCTTCGCATAAACAATACTCTAATTGATATCATGTAATGAGTATGTGTGTGTAAATGTGTGTAATTTCCAAAAAAAATATTTCTTAAATAAACAGTTGTTTCAAAGTAAACATAAATATACATATTATATGTATATAATAATAATATCCTCCTGACCGATTCCAGCCACGACGGCCAATCTCATTGAGATTAGCCAACTGTTGGTGATGACTGATGCTTCTGTGCGAAGCGAGGGTAAGTCGCTAGTTATACATACATATAATAAAAGTGCATACCATTCAAAAATGGTACGAAAAGTTATTTGGCGGACGATCATTATGTATGTATGTATGCAATAAAATAAAGATTTCATCTGAAAAGACTTAATTTTTTCAATATATTTACAAGACATCATATAACATATTCCACCTTTAGGAATTATCGTTAATGTAAGTGAGATTGATGCAGCTTCAAGCCACCACAAACAAGCTTCCTGAAATTCATGCGCTGTCTATTTAGGACAATGATGCGCCCCGAATGTGATGTAAAATTAGAGTTTCCCGTAGCAAGTTTTGCAAGCGAGTTCATTACAACAACTGTGGTCTCTAAAACGTATATTAACTTTCTGTTCAGATACTGTACGGACATCATCTATTATTATTATTAAATAGTAACGAGTAGATATACTGCATTGTAGATTACTAATGAATTTATGCACGCTACGAAATCTGCAGTATATAATGTAGACAATTTGGCTTCTATCTCAAGAGAGCACATATTTTGAGCCATTTACACCCTGTGCACGTAATAAACGTACATATTATGAGTGTACATTAGCCACCGAGGTCAGGCCGCTGCCAGATGGCGAAGTGCCTGTAAAACCCGCACTTACCAAGCCTTAAATGAAATTGACGCCAACTCCTTCATTTAATACCGCATAGTGGTTGACAAAATGCGTATAAACAGTGTCTGAGTCCTGTACTTTATAATGCGAATTGGTTTTGACTTAACGTTTGAACTAGTTTGCATTCTATGCACGTAATAGAGGTATATATGTATGTATATATGTGTAACGAATGTACATTAGGTAGCGAGGTCAGCTTGTTGCCAGATAGCAAGCTCATGTACCTTTACTAAAGTGACACCTCCACTTTAAAACATAACGGATACAGAATTTAAATAGTAAGTTTAGGTTTGCCTGCAAATTATTTTGATGTTTAGAAGAAAATGTTGATGTATTTAATATATGTATGTACACGAGTGACAAGACAAATGATGTGCAAACCTATTTTTAAAATAAAATGTTCTGTTGGGAATAAATATATTGTTATAAACTAGGGTTTGATTATAAAGACCCATTGACTTTAGTGTGATTATGAGTTAATTGTCACACTATAAGTATTTATCGCGGTTTGGATATATCTTCCGCATGTTAAACGGGTCACGTTGTGCGAGCCGTTGCTTTAAGCATTATTTATTTTCTTTATTTTATTAAAATATTTATACGTTAAAATAAAAGTTTTTGCAATACAACGTGAAGATGGCCTTAGTGAAAGTGGACGGATTACATAGTAACATATAATAAAATTGAGATATTATATAGCTTTAAGACAAAACTGCAAGTTATCCCATCCGAATATAGATGGGTTTATTATGGAAATGGCACTGTATCAGACGTACTGATAAGTGACGGTTACACGTAAATTATACCCGCTCGCTCTAACACTGAAAAAGCTTTGATATGTGATCTATATAATATATGACTATTGCTTAGCTAAGTTAGGATTTCTTTATATATTTCGTTAATATTACATTATAATATTACTTTTTTTCTTTATTGAAGTAATGTAATAAAAAATTATTATAATATATAAGTAACATTTTCATTGTAGTATATCTATATTTAAATACCAATAATATTTTTGGGTAATATTTGCTTGTAATACTAGGAGCTGGATGAGCTTCATGGACTTTTTTTATTTAGTTTATTTTATTATACCTATAGGTATTGCAAAATTGAATTTATATAGCGTAGGTATCTAAATAATTGATATGTATTACATATAAATTCAAATCGGCCATTATAAAACACCTTAGAAGTAACATTCTCAGTTATCATAAATTCTAATCTCATTTATAAGCTTTTAAGGAGTGAGCTTTCAAACTATTATCTAGAATGGCAATACCGGGTTTCTGGCAACACTGGGAGCTATCCTAGTACACTGTTTATTCTGCTTCTGCCGCGTATATCGACCAGCCGGCGCGCGCCGCCTCAGTCGCCGCCGCCGCTCGGACCGCGCCGCGCGACACCACGCACCACTGACAGCTGCCGATCACAACCTCACTAATTCAACAAATCGCGGAAGAAAAACATACAAACTAACGTGTTAAAATATCACTAAAATAAAAATATGTACCGGAGTGTTCGCACTCTAGAATTGAAACGTGTGTGAATAAAGACTTTGTTGTGTCATGTGAGATTGTGCCCTTAAGACCGAGTTGCCTACATTTGGCAGCTGTCTACAAGGTAGGAGATATTTTATACAAAATAGTAGACTAAGCAAATATGTACGTGTTATGGTAATATCGAAGGCTAGGTCGAGACCTTGAAAGCGGCGGGGCACAGGATGTCAAGTCATAGCATGTAGTAAACACTTCGTAAGAAAGCTTTAAGCTTCGATAAGAGATTTTATCGTTTCATTTTTTGGCTGTTTACGAAATAAGTTTATTTTAGGTCAAGAAATTGTAGCGGCCAAGAAGGTTAAAATGCCACGCATGAAATTATTTCTATGATTAAATGAAATTATTATTTGATTTTTGATGCTTTAGAAATGCAATAATTTGTTGCTATTCCAATAGCTTCTACGGAGGTCTACGGCGTAGCGCCGGTAGATAGTCGTAGCAATAGTATTGTCATAATTCCGCGCGCAAGTCTCTCCTACGACTGGATAAAGTTTGTTGGCAAGTAGTTTATATCATAACAAGCACACACTCTTAAATTACAACTTGCAATTGACTTTTCATACACTTAGCCGGTAAATAATAAGTAAATTTAACGCCAAAAGTTAAATATTAGAATCGAACAAAAAAAGTTAATAATTGAGTGAATCCACGTAGTTTCGCAAAAATATATTACATACAACAAAATTCTGTTTAAATATAGCGATAATATAATATTTGAAACTATTTTTATGTTTTTATTACTATGAATTTTATTTTTGTGGTAAACGAAAGCGAAAAAATATTTTTAAGGTCTAAAAATTTACGTTTTAGAATGTGTCAAGAAAGCCCATTGTATAATTATAATAATAATATTCTTAAAAAAAATACATATAATTTGTTGCACAATTATAATAAAAGCGAACACAGGTTGTAATTTAGTAGATTATATCACTAAAAATAAATAAGAATGCTTTGTTCAATAAATTAATTTCTATTCAATATGCATTATAAATGAATGTCAACTATACACACAACAGGGGCTCACTGGAGCTGCCTTGAATTAGAGGTCACCTGAATTAATCATGCGAGCTCTACATTCCACCCCTTTATTCAACTAATTACCCCAAACGTTTAAGCCTGTTTTCCACTTTCAACGTTTCATTCACATCGACGATCTATCTTGTATTCAATTGAATCGTCAAACACGAAAGTGTTAATTAAGCGCTAAATACTTTCAAAACTTTTGTTACTATATATTTTCCTAAAAACTTTTTTGCAAATTATTTCTTTATGTAAAATTTCTTTGTTAATATTGATTGATGCGATTTATATTTGTATTTATATTATAAATGATCTAAATATGTACCGTGCGTTGAAACTGATTAATCTTGGAGTGAAACTTCCTCAAAATTTGCATAACTTTTCATAATGCTCTACAGCAATCATGGTCACGGGAGAGACTAAAGTTGTGGGTAGTAGTAGTAGTAGGCACAGTATGTAACAAGTATATATAACCTTTGAGACGTCTAAAACATAAAGCTATAAAGCGTTCGAAACATGACTGCTATAAAGCGTTCGAAACGTCGGGAACCAAAAATCAAAATAAATCCGCTTTTTTAATTATGGTATAATAAATTCAAAAATATATATCATGAAAATACAATATAATTTTAAAAGATTAAAAATAAATTATTTAAATAGAGAGAGTCGATTGACAAATTGGAATTTCTATTTTAAAATCAGCTCTCTATACGGCTTCAATAATTTTTGACTACTTTTTTAGGTTAAATACATAATTTAGTTCCTTTAACTAACACACTAAACAAAGGCCTCCCTCCCTTCAATGGGAAGGGGAGCAGACCATAGTCCGTCGGTGGCTAAGCGCGGGTTGGCGTATTTCAAACTTTTCAAAAACTATTTAGGCTCTATAAGATATAAAGGTTTCCTCACGACGTTTTTCATACACCGTAAAGCAAAGCGTAATTCATGTTAAAAATAATGTGCGCATGAAAATATCAGTTCACTTCTCTTCACTTGGTTTTCTAGACAAGCGTGTTACCCCAGTGGTACTACTGTCTGGTAGGTTTAATATGTAACTAATCCTAGATAAGATTACATTATATATTTTACACGTCAGTAACGCCTAAGAATAAAAACAAATAATAATACGTAGTAACATTCGTGACTCTAATTATTATTTCTAGCTCAAAGGTCGAGTGTTAAATTATGACCTGTCAACACGCAGATTGATGTGAGCTGTATTTAAGAAATATGTATTTTGGCATCAGTGAATATTTTTTATGTAAGTAATTTCATCTTATATAGGTTTTTTATTCAGGATTTATTAGGAGGGGTGGGCAGTACAAAGCAAAGTTGTCACTAAAATTTAGTACTCTTTACCTTTTGTTGGACCGTATGTAAAGAAACCTTGTGTTGTTTTGCGGGTCTTTGTTTCATTTTCATCATATTTTGTATGTGGCGTAATCATAAACGCAGAACGCACTATATTAATCTATATACTTATGGAAATATTTCCTGACAGTTTTATTTAAAAAAAAGTTTATAAACGCTTTTTAATTTGGTTATAGGGAGATTACAATATATAATTCATATTTTTTTTCTAAGTATACAAAAATACTGTAACTCGACTTTAGGGGAGCCCTATGTAGCTGAGCTAGGCCTGCTAAACAGCACTATGTGTCCTTTGGCTGAGACGATGAATTCGGCGAATTTCTTGCCGGTCTTTCTCAGTTAAACTGCTTTGGACAGGCGGTAACATTCTAACTAACTACACTTTCTTGCTTCGTTTTAGATTAAGTTGACGATCCAAAAGTTTTTTGTAAAAGTCACGTCGAATAAAATTAATTTTGACAACACGCGATGCCAATTATGAATTGAACTGAATTCTATTTACGTCGGTAAATGTTTTAAATGAAATAGTGTAATGGCGGCTACTTTTATTAGTTTGGATAAAATATTTTTGATATGAAATTGATCAATGGAATTATAAATATTGTAGTGTATTGTGATACCGTAAATATTGCACACGAAAAGATACATAAAAAAATACAACTAAAGAGATGCGCAAAGGCGGCCTCATCACTAAAAGGCATCTCTTACAGGTGACCGATAGTAAAGGATACAAATTATAAAAATAAAAAACCGGAATGCATAAAAGCTACTAAAAAGATAAAAACAAGTTGACGAAGGAATAAAGAGAGAGAGTAAAAGATAAAGGCAGTCGGAGACATACATATATGTGCATACATCTCGCGGAAAGGATTAAACGCGTTATTAAGACGAATCTTACGACGTATGAATCATCAAAATCGGCCTACGCGTTTTGTCTCTAGAACACTATATAGGAACAAACAAACAAACAAACAAACAAACAAACAAACAAACAAACAAACAAACAAACAAACAAACAAACAACCATACATACATCCATACATACATGACTGATAAACACATTATCCTCCTTTGCGTCGCGCAGTCTGGTAAAACATAAATGCAATTATTCGTAATTGATATAACCTAAACAAAAATTAATATTCAAATCATTTCATACGCTGTTCAATTATGCCTTCTTAATGTATAAATTCTAAATAATTTTGCGTAAACATATTGTTAAACGAAGCTGATACAGCCTGACACTGAAAATGAGAATGGCTTAAAACCATTTTCTAGTCGTTTAGGTTTCAATTAAGTACATATTCAATTTACATTTTAAAGCAGGGTGGGTGATAGGTAAGCGGAAATGACCTCGTAGCGGCGCATGCGATCATGTTGAACTTCGCAACTACATCCTTCAGATACCATTAGAGTCACATTAGCATGTAAACTACCTGTTATCCACTAATACAAGTGTATCAGTTGATAAACAATGAGTAGTTGGACATTTTCAGCTTTTTGCCCACTGAGAGCACGTTCGCTTTAGATTGAAGCGAGTTTAAATGTCAGGTCTCGTATCTATGAAAGTCATCGGCTAACAAGAAATTTCGAATGTCTAAGACAGCCTAATGAAATTTAAATTTGATTGATCCGTAGTTGCTATAGGCAAACGATTCGAGGACACGTTTGGCTCAGTGTGTAGTGACCCTACTTGCTGTGCCAGCGGTCGCGGGTTCGAGTCCCGCTGGGGCCATTCATTGTGTGATGAGCACGAATGTTTGTACTCCAGTCATGGGTGTTGATATTTATAATATGTATGTGTTTAAAGTTTATATATGTGTAGTGTATCAACTATCTGGTATCCATAACACAAGCCTCGTAGCTTACCATGGAAGTAGATGGTGCTGTGTGTTAATGTTCCAAAAAAAAAAGGATTGAAATAGAAAGATGAACTATGGTCTAGTAAGTTTAAGCATGTAACCTTAAGTAGACGGTGAATTGCTTTCAAAAATTGGCATGATGGCTTGAGTGCAACATCGATGTGTTTAGCTAAGAGTGTCTAAAGGGTTGCATTGTTTTCATCATTTCTCATCTCACTCTGTACGACCAATAGAGGCAAGGAAGCGGGGGTAGATATTGCTCTTCCGTTGGATGACTTATGCTTTAAGTATTATAACTCACTGTAAGCTCGCAACAAGCTGTCTTGCAGGTTGATCAATATATTCTACTTTCCGGCTAACTTTGAATATAATCACATTAATATTCGATGTGAAAGTTTATAAGTGAGTATGTGAATTTTAGTTAGTTCTTCATCCTGTATCAGATCACATTTGACATATTTGAGAGAATATTGGTAATTAATAACCCGGAGTAAAATACTAATAGTAGGTATTAAATTAATTTGATTATTTCTATTAGTTCTGCTATTATTTTGGAAAATTATATATATTCAGGCTTAAAAGGTAAAAAATACCAAAAATTGCGCTCTATACTATAAATTCGTCGTCTA